CGACCCTTTTCACATTACATATAGCGACTGAAGTCAATGGCAATTAAAATATTACAGTTCAGCTTTACACTCTCCAAATGAACTGTTAGCTTAATCTGACATAGGCACCGCGTTACATTAGACAAGTATTCAAATATTCTATATATGTTATCTATCACCTTATCTATCTATTATATCTGATAATTTGCTTTCAAAATACAAGCAGCTAAATTCTTGTTTGGACTGAGGCACTGAGCTGTTGAATTTACCTCTTTCATGTTGCTTTTCACTCCCTGATTGAATCAATGTTTCATGTGTTGTTATGTATTCTGACTGTGAGCACACTGCATCTAATTCTTCATATACTCTAGCCTAAAGTGAAGTGTGTTGAAGCTCAGAGACAGGGCAGTTGTCTCCTACTTGTTGTTGGGACTCAGTGTTGAACTGTGTGGTCACTGAGTGGATTGATGGGGGGAGCCATTGCCTACCCTCAGCACCACGTTGCATCAGCTAATCTTGTGAATAATGCAGAATCATGAATAAACATAGATCAATGCAGTGCAGTACTGTAAAGGAGACCTGCCTTTTTTTTTTTTTTTTCATCCCTTTGCCCTCTTTCTTCTCTTCTCCAACCCGCCTCCATTTTTTTTCCAGTCCAATCCTATCTCTTTCTGTCTTTCTCTTTTCTCACCACAAAAACACTATTTCTTTCTTCCCTCCCTGCCAAAATCAAACACTTCCACTATTCCCCCATCCTCTGTCACTCTCTCGCTTTCCTTTTCTTTTCCTCTCTGGCCACAGCAGTGACAGACATTGTAGTGCTGTAGTGTTGCTGTGTCTCAGTGCAGGCGAGTCGGGCCCGGCCTTCACTCTCAGCTCAATAGCTGCCCGGGTTTCCTCAAAGGCAGCCATCCAGCCAGCACAAAGCCTGCCCACTGGGAATAGACCCACAAAAGAGAAAGGGGGCTGCTCGCCTTCTTTGCTCTGCTCCGTCTGAAGCGGCCTGCCTCCACCACCTCCTATAAATAATACAACGCTGTCTCAACAAAAAGAAATCCTGCCCTGCTCCCGCAAGCCTCTGCTTCCATCTCTTCTTTATTCCCTCCCTCGCTCTGCCCTTCCCCTGTCTCCCTTCTCCTCACCTCCTTTACCTCTGATTTTTACCAGTGAACCAGAGCTTTAAGAACAGGCTTATACACATTCAGTTACACATTACATTAAATAATGTATCGGGATCCTTTGAGTAGAGCTCATGATGCTCATTATCCGTTACTATCGTATATTACCAATGCACTATGATATAGTATAACAGGAAAGCGAAGGGAAATCCTTGTTTCTGATTGGCTAGCAAATGTCTGTTTAAAAATATCAATCTAAAACTCCACTAAAAAAATAAAAAAATCACTGCATGAGGTTTGATATGCTGCAGGTACCATAGCAACAATACTTAGCTGTTGCTACATTTCTGTTTTAGTAGGTGATGGGCAGATGGACTGAGAGACACATGGACAATGCAAATACACTTGAAATTTTACTAAGTTAAATACAGTTTGTTTGTTTTTCTCCACTTCCCACTTATGGCAACTAAAGAATGATTAATATTGTTGCTGTAGTCACTTGTAGGGTTTATAATTTGGGAAAGTTTAAGGTCTTGGTGAAATGCTGAAAGTGTCAACGCTGACTTGAAGCGTGAGGTATAAAAGGGTACACTTGACAACTGTGAAAACTGAAAACAACTTCCCCAGTGGCTCTAAAGTGGGTTTAGAGACATACACTTCACGATGAGAGTATTTGACTGGTTGACTAATTGATGATCATGATGTCATCAGGGTTAATGATCAGTCAATCAAACTCTATTTGTGTAGCACATTTCATGTAGATTAGCTGTTCAAAATGCTTAAGAAATGGCTGTCAAACTAGTAATAATGAAGTTGAAATGTAAATGGTAGAACAATTTAAGATGCAAACACGAAATAAAAATATTTTTTTAAAAAGACGCTAATGCACAAGATCAAATAAAATTAAATTGAAAAAAAAGAAAGTAATGGCAAATTAAACTGTGGCTTGGGTTGGAGACTAAATATTCAACGAAAGGTGTAGAGAAGTGAAAGACTGTGCAGTTGGGAAGCAGGGAAGTTGTAAAGAGAGCTTCACCATTTTTGTAGCTTCACTAGAGACCAAAAGTCAGATTATGTCAGTATAAAAACCAATGTTATTCTTAGTCTTATGAGTATTCAGTTGCCTAACAACACTGTGGTACAGGATGATATCAGACAGTCAAGGGCAGCTTTTCAGGCTGCACGTAATATACTTTCTATTGCTATTTATTTCAGTTTTCCTTGCATTTTTACTCAAAAAATAACCACTTTGAAGAATGATAATAAAGATAGCAGGTTTGTGCATATTCCATACAGTTTAGTTGATTTTTTATTTTTTTAAAATTCATTTAGCTTTTTTGCAAGAATAATTACTTGATGGGAAACCCAGCTTAAATATGTGCATGTGTTACATTTGTGGGAAGGTATAAATAGCCGTGTGCATGTGTTGGTATAATTTGTCAGTGTATTAATGGGAATGTGTGCACAGGGATTAGGCTGCTATCAGTGCAGCTCTCCCAGCCTGTCAGGCTTTAGGACAGGCTTGGACAAAGAGGCTGATTTCAATGTAAATGCAGCAGCTGAGAGGACACAGCTCTCTCGGTGGGGTGACTTCCACCCGCCACATGCACACACGCACATACACACACACGCACACACACCCACACACGCAAACACACACACATACACACAAACACACACACACACACACACACACAGAAACGCCATTAGCCTCCAGATTAGGGTACACACACTTGACCATATTCAGTGGAATAGTAAATACATTTACTTTGTGTTTAGGATGTGCATTTCCAAGAAAAAAACATCCCCAAATTAAATGCTGAAGAAAGTTGAATTTGACTAGTTAAAGAGTGGATCTGTCTGCTGTGTCTCTGCACCTGTCAGTAATTACAGATATAATCTGGTCCACAGTGTTGTGTTGTGGCCCTGTGTTGCTCCAAGTCCATCATTAGGCCAACCATTATCCCCGTGCCTGGCCTCTGCACCTCTTATTACATGCAAATAGTGCCGCTTTATCTGAGTAGTGAATGAGACCCCCATCTCTAAAGAATGGGACACCCTACTCGCCCACTCAAAGCCATTCCTCCATCTATTACTGCATTCTCTGGTTCAGTGCAGACAGCACGGATCTCATGGCTTCAGTGTTAAAAGAAAGACTGTGGTGGTTGGCGGGATGCAGATAAGTGGTGGAGAAATGCCTGACTGAACAGCTAATGATCAAATGTGCACACTATCAATCATGTTGCATTACACACATATGTGTTTCAACACATTATATTTCCTGTATATTCTGTTTTCTGTGCTACATCACTATTTCATGGTTTTTCCCCCTTTTAATATGAATTTGACTTTAAAGATGTATCAACATTTTTCAGTGCATTAGCTGACATAAAAAGCAAGAGTTAAAAAAAAAAAAGTAGTGGAAAGAAATAGCAACTAGCAACCGACAATGTACAAGTTAGTGTGATTGGTAATTTTTAGTATTAACATAGTAGTGCTTATCCTTCTTTAGATTAGCATGAAATTCCAATGTTTTACCATCAAAGCACCAGGAAAGGAACACAACAAAAGAACAGACAGGAATAAAGTAAGATATAATAAAGGGCCAGTTGTTTCAATGTAAATACTTTGCAACACATGGACTATTTAATGGTATCAACTGGTTCGAAAGTAACCAAGTGGTTTGTAAAAATGGAGAACTTATGGGACTCTATGGAAGCATATTGCAAGGCCTTACCTATAATACTAGAAGTTTTTATTTATTTTTTATAGAAAATCTCTGATGATGTTTTTAACCTTTATTTTGTTGATATTAAAATTGAGTACAGTACTAAGTTAACATTTGTAATTATGAGTTCAGGATCTCATATTTGTGAGAAAACTATTTAATAATTATAAGATACTGCACAACTGACCAATATTGTATGAGCTGGAATTCTTCCTTTCTGTTAACAAACTAGTATACTGGCTTTTCACCATGAAAGCACTCATCTGGGTTCGACGTAGAGGAATGGTGCATTCATGAGCCATTGTGCAGCCGGAAATGTCCTTTAACAGAAATGTATTACATCCACAAACAAAAAACAACAGTTTGTGCACTTGCCTGAAAATCCTCTTGTTTTTCTTTTTCATTAGCATAATTCAGTAACACTCACTACATCTAGTGGTACATAGCAAAAGGAATTCTCACTAACTGTGTCAACGTCCTTCTTTTCTAATAATAATTTCTAATAATAATATTATATAAGTACCTATATAATTATAGGTTTAAAAAAGTGGGCTTGATTTACATCACACAGTCATAAACTCTCATAACAAGACAAGAACAAGCAATATGTTTTTGCTGCTTGCGAATGTTTTCTTGTTCATTACTTAAACATTCTAAGTACTGGCTTCACACATAACTCATAATAACTGCTTTAATGCTGACAAGGCTAAATGCAGGCTAATCCACAAGCCCTGCATTCACGTTAGCATGCTTTCAGTCTTCAAGTGAGAAACCCATTCTTCTTCTTCTGCAAGTTCAAAATGTGGACCACCATGACCTGAGGCACACTTGACACACACTACGTTGTCAAGGGTTACACTGTTAAACTGATGTGGATATAAATACAAAATAGGACAAAAGAAAAATACCATGAAGATATGGTGGAATATATGTATGTATAAATAAATATATGTGTCCTCTGCTGTGGACACATATTTTCAAGACTTAGGGTATCCATGCTATTTACTGTTGTACTGTACCAGCTGCCCCATTCTGATAACTGAACTTTCCCCTCATATTTGCTTCTACATGTGTGTGTGTATCATTTTCTGCTTGTGAGTGTGTGCAACTGCATGCTGCTGCAGCACCAGCATACTGTTTGTGTGTGTGTCTCTTGCATTATAATGAGCACGTACCTGTCAGGCAGTCATGTGCAGGATGCTGCCTCAGGTCAGTGTTTGCTGCCAGAGGATGCCTTTCCATGACTGTTCCTTCGTGCACACACCTGTATGCTGTCCCCGCTCTCAGTCTGCAGCTTGACATTTGGTACGGTGAAGATAGAAGACACTGCAGGGGGAAGAACACGCAAGCGGATTAGAGGGATGTAGGCTGACAGGAAGAAGAACATTTCCAAGTGAGTTGTTAAAGATAGAGACGCTTATTAAAAAGTGAATATTTGAATATTTATTTGCAGTGAGTCTTTTCGGGGTTTTAATATTTCTGTCAGGAGGAGAACCATCTTAAAATTGCTTCATGTAGCATAGCTCATTTGCTTTTTAAAGAAATCACTTCAAGTAAATCCTGTGTTCTTACAGTTAAATTACAGACAGCAATATCACAGTTATTGCAAGTTAGATTTTCCTACATTTCATTGGAATTTGTTCAATACAGCTATTGCATCATACAGTAAAAAGCACATAGATTTTTGTGAAAGCTGCTTAATTTTGCTTTAGTTTTAGTGATAAAATGGTGAAATGATCTTACTGGTAGAGCATTAACAATATTAGTATTGTAACCACTTGTCATAATGTAGTCAAATAGTGCATGCAATTTATTGTTCTTGACCTCGGAGTGGAGAACTATAGGGCACTTAGCATTCAGCCAAAAAATGTTGGTGATGTTATCTTGTAATTATGACTTAGTTTCTCATAATTCTGAAATTCTGAGCTCTGAATTCTAAAAACCTGTTATTCTCAGTTAACCTCTGAAGCATGCAGTGAATTAGTCTATATATGTTTAAGTTGAGTAGTCCAAATGCGTTATTAGCAGCTTTATACAAATTTTGCTATTTACCAATGGGTGTTCTATCAGCTATCACTGAAATGCTTTCATATTGAAGAAATCAAAAAGGCAGTGATTCTCAAGCAATTTGGAATACAAAAATGTCCTAGCGAACTCATAAGTATACTTTCACTTGATAACCAGGGAAGGAATGTCTAGATACTAGTCAGTCAAAAACAGGAATTACAGCAAAATGTAACTGAAATGTAATTCAAAATAAAATTTCAAGCAGCTAATATGAAGAAGAGAAGGTGACACACTCTCTGCTTAACCAATATTGCACCAAACCAGGTTTCAGCTGGAGTTCACTGAGCAGAGAGAGCCGAGGAAAACACAAGAATAGGGGGAGAGGGAAGAGTGCTGCTCCAGCCTTGGATCAAGTGAAATGTCAGACTCTGGAACATACAGCAGTTGCTTGTGGCTCTGCAATTACGTGCTAAACTCTTCAAAAAAGCATATTTTTTACTGTCGTTTGCTGTCAGAGTTGTGTATCCTACCTAGCTGGAATGTCTTGGTCAGAAATGTGATCTACTTCTACTGGTAGGTGGAACATCTGTCCTGCTATGACTGCAGTGATGCATATCTACAGAGAGAACAGTCCCAGGAACACAGTTTGTTTTATGACTGAAATCATGATCACTGTTTGTTCTGCATAATAGTGCAAAAGAGAAAAGTCAGCTGAATGCTGTGATAAAACACTGGCATGACTAGCAAGTATAATAAGTGGATGATAATTATTCGGCTTAAATGTGAAAAGAAATACTGGTATGGTCCTTTAAATTTGGAACATTTGGACAATTACTATAAACTAACAAGGCATTAATACATAAACTCAATACAGAAGGTGTCGGGGCTCAGAAGATGCTGACTTGCTTCTTCTTTGTGCCCCCACTCCCATCACAAATGCTCAAGGTAGGAACCAGTTAGAGTTTCAGGGGGATTTTTACAGAAAATACTGGGACTCCTATGTGAAACGGTGCCAACTGTTGTCTTTGTTGAGTTATTTTTTATTTACAGACCCAGTGCATGCCACTAATCAGATCACTGGCCTGTCGGGGTGCTCTGCGTTGGGGTTAGAGGTCTCTCTGTCGACACTGCATGGATCACCAACAAACCCCCACGTGAAGCTCACATTGAATGTAAGGACCACGCTTTGACACAGTGGTTGGTTCTTCAGAGAGAGAAAAGGGTAGTATATGCTATATATGCTATATATAACTTAAAATCAGAAGAGTCACTGCTGGCTTCAGTCATTCATGTAAGTTAAACACTGCAATTGTCTTCATGGACTTAATATATAAAATATATGTACAGTATGCAAGATTTGAGTGCTCTTACTCTTATGGGCAGAGTCATGGCTAATTTGGCATTTCTTTTGAAATATTTTCTCACAACAAACGGACTGAATCGTAACTCAAAAAACCAAGCTTCATACTGAACTTCCTCAATACTGTTAGACCCTTACCACAGCTTTTAGACATAATTACATCAAATGTGCCCCAAATGTCTGTCCCACAACGTGCTGACAGTTTGTCAAACTGGCACAAACAACTATTACGAAATTACTGCGATATTTAAAAAAATAATTAAAAATGTGACAATTCCCAGCCAAGTATTCATTTTTATTTTGAAGTTCTTGAGCAGATTTGTGGACCTTCAACTGAAAATGTAACTAGAACTAAAGGTAAAATAAGTGTATAATATCTGTATGTTCAGATCTGACTGAGCTGTAAGTCTAAAAAGTGACATTTTGTGACATGAATCGGGTGTGAAGGGATCTTAAGAGTCTTAACTTAATGCTGCTGATGTTTTTCTGTTGAGCAACACTGAAGATGATCATTTAAAAACTGATATATCATAATTCAGTATGAGGCTCCCGTCTCTTTGCAACTCTGCTCATTGTAGTTTTGCTTATAGTTTGGGAAACAATAAGGATAAAAAGCTGTGTATTAGCCAAATTCCTATGGGGGGGAAATGGATTCACAAACTCCATTCTGAGAAGAACACATCTTTTTCTCTAATTTGGAAATAAAGTCAGTGGGTTTTGCCAAGAGAGCAGGGGAACTGGAGGACAACTGCTCTGTCTGAAGATTTTCTTTTGTTTCACTTCCACATCCATGTAAATCTATCACAGTCCAGAGAGACAGGGGCTTTTTATTATTCTTATTCAAGGCCTTTGCTCTCACTTCTTGCACTGCCAGACACCCACGCACTCTCACTAAAATCAAATTAAAAATGTCACAGTCCAATCCACACTGTAACAGCAACCTCAGGAGCTCTATTGTCTCAATAATTCTGTCATTGTTCCCAGTAATCTGTCTGAGTATTGTCTGGATAAATCCATAATACACATGATAATAGAGTGCACAGCTGACCATGGAAAACATATTGTTCATCCCTGCAAGGAAATGATGAGACATTTACTTGACTTTACTATGACATATTTTTTTTCAGTATAAGTCAGTATATCTTTTATTTGGTTTGTTTGATCCACAGAACAGCTCAATACATTTTTACTGGGCTGTTCTCATTGGCTCCAGTCTTTTTCGAGTGGAACACAATTACTATGCTGCAGTTGTAGCCAAATACTCACAACTGGAGTAATTAGCCAGTTCTTTATCTCACACTCACTTCTCATTTGCATAATTTTGACACATCCTTCCCCCACAAAAGTGCAAGCGGCAAATCCACACACATGGAAGATACTTTATGTTTATCCACTCCTGTCGTCATTTTATAAACTGCTTTAATTCACTCCCATTCTTCCCTTAGTGGCTCTGCTGCCTTGCCTGTGTCACATGTGCGTGCCGAGAAGAGAGAGAGAGATAAAGGAAGTCTAGAGAGAACGGGAGAGAGTGAGCGAGCATGACAAAAATCAAAATGAGCCATCTCTCTCTTCTCTCTCTCCTAGTGACCGCTGCTTTCTGATTCTTTTCAGACATGACAACCTGCTGGGGGCTGATAACAGGATTAATAATGCTGAAAAATCCTAATCGGGGGGAATTAAAAATGGAATTCTCTTATTATAATAACCACCATGTCAGTAGCAGCACACTCAGGTCTGCTGAGCAGGCTTTTCACACCACTAATGAATAACAGCTTAAGGGATTGGTGATGTATGTATATGTAGCCTGTCAAACAATATGGATAGGTAGTCATCCCTGACATACTTTCATGCAATAACCCAATTCTGTGGGATTAATTGAAATATAGCCTAACTGCGAAGCTTTGGCTAAAGCCTCTGACTCTTAGACCCAAAATACACAGGGGGAATCTGCCTCTAAAATGAAGATGTGTTCAGAGCTATGTGTTAAACACTAAATGTTGTGTGTTTCAGGTTGTCGGGGCTTATTTAAAGAGTGCCTCAGTGTGCTTTTTGTCTGGGCAAACAACAAGTCAGGAGATAGATAGAAAATCAAACTGAGCACGCTGCAGTGGCCGGCAGAGGTCCGACCAGGCTTACTGTCCCAACGGCATCCACATAATAAGACAGGCTTTCTCTGCATGATCAAAAACAACCCCAGGTTGCTGCTGGCTTCTTTACAGGCAGAGAGAGATAGAGGCAGTGAGAAAGAGGGAGAGAGACAGTGCAAAGGAGAGAGAGAGAGAAAGATGGACAGAGAGAGAGAGAGAGAGAGAGAGAAAGATGGACAGAGAGAGAGAGAGAGAGAGAGAGAGAGAGAGAGAGAGAGAGAGCTGAGGGAGCCCATGAAAGAGAAAGGGGAAAACACAAAGAGGAAAGAGGGAGAATCAAAACAGGAGAGAGACAGAGCGGCGAGAATGTGATTATCAAAGTAAATATATTGTTTTCCATCTATTTGTAATAACCACCTTGGTCAATCACAGGTCAGGAGAAGCATTCATACTCACAGTAACATCTATGAGCAATTTAGAGTCACCAATCAACTTGTCCTGCATGGACTGTGGGAAGAAGCCATAGCACCCTCAGCAAACCCACACATGAAGGAGGAAAGGAGAAGGAGAAAAGGCAAACTCCCAGCAACTCCAACTCAGAACAGCTTTGCTGTGAGGCAACGATGCTCATCACTGCATCATGCCGGCTTCTGCACATCCATAGTTTGACTCTTACTGAAACTTTGGGGAGAGTCTTTTCTATTCTATATCAATGTATGTTATACTATAAGGTTCTACTGTGCCTAATTAGATACTGTTACATTCAATAGTAATATAAATTATAGTACCCTGTTCCACTTAAGTCTATACTACACTACTCTTCCGTAACACATTCTATTCAAATGAGCTGGCTGTGTCCTCTGTGTTGACAAAAACAGAAAGAAAGAGAAAAAGGCAGTGTTATGTTGGACAATCTTGAAAGCTTCAGTGTCACTGCTGGCATCAACGGTTCATTTAAGTTAAATAGTTATATGACATTTTTAAAAAAAAATAAAACAAAAAAATAAAAAAATAAAAATCTTTTTCTCCTTTCTTATTGATAAGGTGGATAATTAATCTAAGTACCTATTTAGATTTTTTTCAAAATAAAACTGAATGAAACTCCAAAAATGACTTTCATACTGTATGGAGCAGTCAGTTTGTGTGGACCATTGAACCCCTACTATCATGCAGTCTTCAGCATATCCTGTATGGCACTATTCTGGACTAATATACACTCTACAACAGTGTACAACTCAAGGCTGATATACAATGTACCATATGTTTGTTGTATATTATTATACAACATGCTATACTGTTGTACTCTATATACCATACTAGACAGGTCATTCTTTACTAATATATGAAGTGCCTCGCTTGTTTACTTTCAGCAACTTTCACCATTAAAACTATGCTGAATTGGTTAGTAGCTGCTCCTGTTTGCAGTGAACTCATGGCCAGACAGACAGCTATCACTGGACTACTAAGGGTTATAGGGAGTGTCAGTCTTATTTAATTCTGCTTATTCACGTGGATCGTAGAGAAAATGACACCCCCAGAAAATGTAAGTGAAACTAAATCTAAAAATATGGCTATGATGTTGCTGTGTTCACATTTGACTCCAAGAAAGAACGTGATTGGAGCAAATTGCTGAAATTTGAAGAGTTTTGAAGTATTTTACTGTTTCCATGAGCTGTGTCACAGCCGCTTCTGCAGAACATGTTGCTACATCAGTCAGATTAACTTCCTGCTGTTTGTAGAATACTGCCATGCTCTTCTCCTTGCCCTTCGCAGATCATCTTTGCTTCTGTGTCCCACACTGGCAAGTTTGACAACTTCTGCTATAGAATAATCATCATTTACTTATGGTCACTACTTTCAGTAAAGTTCTGAGATAGTAATAATGTGTTACGTACTGTCCTGCAGCTCCCAGAGCCGTGGAGGAAGGTTGCTGAAGTATTCGTGGTTCAGCGCTGCCTGGGCTGACAGCCGGTTCTTTGGGAAGCACTGGAGGAACCTGGAGGCCAACTCCTCAGCATGGTCCACATAGCCCAACCTGACACACGCAGACACACAGGATGAGAAACGGTGACCTTTTCAGATGCAAGGAAACAAACAGCATTACTTCATCTGAACAAAACACAGAGTTCCCCATATTCCCATTCATTACTGACAAAGCAACTGCCTTTCTCCAGTTCACAGAGCTGCTGACATCAAAAAGCAAGCCTTCTAGTTATGCTGAAGGTCTGCTGACTCGAGTGGAAAAACACAGAAACACACATGCAAAAGAGCACACATGCATGCGTACACCTTTGTCTTTTGAACTTGCATGTCAACTGGATCACCGTGAGAAACAAAAAGTGTTCATTAAAACAAAAGCCAAGACGGAAGCAGACTATGCCAGTGTGTGTGTGTCTGCGTGTATGTCAAAGTGTGTGTTCGTACTGGGAGTCACTGAACTCCTGAACCAGTCCCAGCTAGCAACGCCGAGGGGGTGGAAAGATTGAAAATAAACGAAGAGCAACAAATTCAGTCAGTAATTAGGCATCTACTGCATTAAATAAACATGATGTTATTCAGTGCAACTTGCCGGGCTGATGCTGGCAGTACTGAGAGCGTCTCTCATGTTCTGTGGGTTTCTCATGGTTGGCTCCCTAGTCAAGCACTCTGACAGCCACTCCCATTTCTCAATGGGGATCTAAACTCGACTTATCAGCGGAGAGACACAGGGAGGATAAATCTCTGTTCAACTCATCAACGCCACTCAGCACAGAGGCAGGGATAAAGTTAATGAAGTCCATCAGGGCCTCTACTTGCTTCTTTCTCATACAGCTGTGTAACTCCACTGCAAACTTTAAAGAAACCAGTCAGTGTGTGAGATTATACTGATGGAATGAGGCCTCCTGGATGACTGCTTTATTGATATTTGTTTGTAAGGTCAACCTCTAAGTGCATGTTTAGGTTGAAGTAGGTGTCAGACAGGATTTTGTGCATCTTTTCTATATTATCTAAGGTCTACTGGCATAGCCAATATACCACTAATGCACAAAAAAAGCTTCAGCTGAGAGCTTTAGTACCTACAAATCCTGTAATATGAGTTAGGAAAGGTCTAGACCCCATAACATCTTCCAAATAATAGCTGGTGGAATCTCAATAAAATATTTCACTGGGGATTATTTCTTTTTCTTTCTTTCTTTCTTTTCTTTTCTTTTCTTTTCTTTTCTTTTCTTTTCTTTTCTTTTCTTTTCTTTTTTAAACAGTTGTACAAATGATCAGATGTGCCATGTGTGTAGATTAATACAGGTACAGCTAACATTTTGGTGTTTTGGGTGACCAAGCCATCAAAACAGCTTGAGAGAAGAGATGATGTGGTGTATTCGAGTTAGATATTGCTAGTTTGGTTTCAACTCTGAAAAATGTGTCCGTGTGTGATGGTAATTTATCTAATTGCTGTTTCATGGGACAGTAACATCTGTTTTCATTTCCATAAGGCAATCGTTGCCATATTTTAGTAGTTACTTCAATGGCTGGAGAGGCCACTTTTTATATGTAATAACCCAGTATTGTAACTAATGCACATGAAATACATGTTTTTAATTTAAAAAAAAAAAAACTGGATATGATGAAAAGATTTTGACCTCAGTAAAGAAGACAGACTGGATTAAACTGTGTAACGAATGATTGAACTGTGTACGACAAACTGCCACGTTTGAGCTCACCTGTCTGAAGTGTAGAACTGCTTGTATGATTCTTTTTTTCCCCCTTTTTCTACTTTATGTTTTAGAAAACAAAACAGGGGCAACAACCTGGAAACACTACTATGTTTCCATACTGACTTTTATTTTTCCAAACCTACCTAGACCTGGAGATTACTAAAGTCAAATTTCCTACTGTCCATACTGCAGAGGAGCCCTGTGTCACACTGTCTGCAACGTGCTGCGCTTCTAGGCTCAGCAAATCAATAAAGCTAGTAGAACTGAATTTTGTGGCATTTTGGCTAATCAACTAATAAATTTACTAACAATTCAGCTATAGAGTGGTGAGGAAATAATGAAGCACACATATGCATTGAGAGTCAATAGTGGCCAACAATAAATGTTTGCCCTATGTCCACAACCTACTGGAACTATGAAACCATCACTGGAGTAGGCCTCGAGACACATAGCATTACTGGAGTAAAATAAAGCTACATTTCCTCTGTGATAGTGTGTGTGTGCACACGTGAATTCAGCTTGGCTCTGCTTTGCTTTGTAGTTTCTCTGCAGGCAGAGACAGTACAGGTAGATATGTGTCCATGTGAAATCACCTGCTTATCAGCACATTGGCCTTTTGAAAGATGTTGATGTACAGTAGGTGAGCATTCCGTTCTGCTATTGCTGCCAACTAGACCAAGTGAACGAGTGAACATCTGCATTAAGATCGATAGCATCTCCTGTGGCAATCAAACAGATCCAGGTGATGATACATGCACAGCGGAGTGAAACATTCCTTCTTCACTGAAGCATGGGGAACGCCTTTTCATGATATTCCATCAAAACAAATCCAGTAAAGGTCTTTGAGAGGTGAGGCAGAGGAGACCACCTGTCTTTATTGTCCCTTCACCATAGCAAAGAGTAGTAGACCAGACTCTTCCTTTGAGCAAACAAGCCACCAGGAACTGTTTCATTAATAAGCTTCTGTGTTTTTTATTTGAAGACATCCTATGAGGGGTTTTAACTATTCCTGACTCATTTACGATGAAGGTATTGCATAAACAGAAGGGCACGACCAGTCTACTGGTGTGAAGTGCTGGAACTGGTCACAGGCAAAAAGGCCCTGACATGTAATTGTTGTGTATATGGCAGTAAAAAATGATAAAAGGTGGAAGCTGTTGCCATTATAAACACTGGGACCTGGAATGAATGTAACTGGGAGGTCGCAGTTCGAATTCTGGACAGAGATCAGACAATCAGACTGTGGTTGTGTCTGGGCAGCTTCCAGGTGTGAATGTGTGAGAGCGTTCCTGCAAAACACAGCCAGTGAACATCACATATTGTGAAGGTTTTGGATGAGTATTTCATATTTTTCTTGTGTTGTCTAGAAAAAACCCAACAACTAATAATTCTCACATTATAATAGATGGTACTGGAGAATGTGGGGCAGTTTACACAATTAAAGAACCATTACATTTTTTTGCACATTATTTTATGCTGACTAAAGCTAACTATTGCAGTACTTAGTTTGTTACTAATAATAGGGGAAAAATGGATGTGAAACATCAGCAAAAATGCAAAAAGAAATGCACTTATAGTTAAAATTACAATGTTTCAAGTTGTCATCGGGTAATATTCAGTATGTGGCCAAGGTCCAAGGACTTCATCTCAGTCATCCTTGGTGTGGACCTTAGATCACTGCAGTCAGTCACAGTGAAACTCCAAGTTATCGAATCCACATCCAGCACTGGGGTAATCAAATTCTGTTATTCTGAGTGTAGTGTTGTACAAATAACTATTCACTGCATCTTGTTCCATCAGTAGAAATAGATGTAATTACACTAAAAAGGGGGAACCCCCACTGTTTAATATGTAAATTTATTAAATACATGAACAAATAAGCTGTGATGCACATAAGGACAAAGCACAAAGCGCTCCAAATAATATTTGCCAAAGTATCTCAACTATAGAAAAATATCAGTCAAAATTACAAAAAAGTCTTTTCGTGTCCACAGGGAGATACAGCATTTAGAATATCCTTTTATTTACGCCTCCATTTGGGGAAGTTTTCTTTCACAGTTGATTGGACCTTTTTGATGAAATATTGCTGAAGCCCTAATGCTACAAAATAATTGTAATTACTGTAACTGTGCTAAGTAAATAAATGCATTTCCAGGATCTCCTATTTAGTGCACGTCTCCTTATTATCAGAGATTGCTATTATTATATTTACTCTTACTAGTTGTGGAAAGTGATGATGAAGTCTAATCACTGTGATAATTTATCTAGATTAAAATCTTGATGGTGTTAAGTGATCCTGCACTAAAAGGACAGCTCCAGTTTATTCCAACCTGGTGTTTCCCAATAATGTGATCATTGTTTCTCTATGGGAAAAGGAAACTTTGCACCCTATACCTGGGTTTTAGAGATTTAGGGAAGAAAAAGTTATTAAAAAGGCTGTAGATTAGGTTAAAAAACACACTAGGGCATTGATATGGGGTTGTCCTGTGATATCTTCAGTTGGACTTGGACTTCAGCAGTGAATCTTTTGGTGTCTTGTGGGGTGCCGGTAGGTGTCCCCATGGATTGGGCTTGTTCCAGTGCATCCCACAGATGGATTGGGATTCTGGGGTGTTTGCGTGCCTTGTCTGCGTCTTGGGCTATTCGTCATGTTCTTTGTGTTTTTCCTGAGCAGCGCGGTGTGGCAGCGCATACTGTCCTGCTAGGGGAGGTCACTACCACTGGGGACTGGCATTGTCACGGGAAGGACTGCTTAGTCTGAAACAATGTTTAGGTGAGTGGCACATTCGATGTAACATCCATATAAATGTCAGGGCCCAAGAAGAACATTTGATTAAAATGAGATAATCATTGTTATTCACTGCATCTGTCAGTGGCTTTAACTGTCATGGCTGATTGGTGTTTATACATTTTGATACTCAGACATGCATATTTTGATATGTGTTGCTCCACAATAAAAAAACTAAAACAATAAACTAAAGAGTTCAGCTGTTGCCATTTTTGATTTACTTGAGTGCAATTACGTACTTACCAATTTTGCAATCGAGAAATTGCCCTATAAGAAGTCTTTTCTGTGTTGGCTGAACTTCTCAGATCTGGAGCCTACGTCCATCTTTTACATACAGTCTATGGTAATTATCCTGGCACACCACCAATCACAGCGTAGCAAGATTGCAGAAGCTAATGTAAAGCTCATAGCTAATTCAGTGGATGTCAAGATTTAGTCACCATCCTGAGTTACCACCACTGGTTAATCACTGGCCAGATCAGTAGCTGGTTTTGATGAGGGTACAGCCTCTGTCAACTTTTCAGTGGATTCACTTTTGTCCCTTACCCTGCTTCATACAACCACTAGCAATACTCTTATATGGTTTGCAGAAAATGGACTCAAAATACATGTTTAATAGAGATATCCATTGAAATAGTTTAATTTAAAAAAATCACTCTGTTTCATCTTGGACAAATCTGACATCAGAAGGCCCTAGTTTACTCTTTTTAAAGTAATTTTTGGTCGCACACCTGTATTGTGTGCTGTATACTGTATACTGCAGCCTGCATTGTGAGGTGTTCAGGGGAACATTGTAAATTGTAGAGTCTATCGATAAGAAAGATGTTCAGGAAGTCATATGTTTTGCCTGTGACAAGGTGGGAAGTCCAACCAAATGAGAAACTTGTTCTCACCGGTAAAAAAAAAACAAAAACAAACTCTGGAGTCTTGTGTGGACTTCCCTGTGGCACAAGCGTTGTTCAGTAAACAGCTATGTATGCAGTGGCTATGTTAGTGGCTCTCATTTGGTTCCTTGCTGATGGAAAAGCAACTGGTTCTGGTGCGAGATTTGAACCAACGAAGCACTGGCCCTAGCACCGGCACGTAACTGGCACCTGATTCTTTTTGATGGAAAAGGGGTATGACATGCCCTTGTCCTTGCACCTCACCTTCTACCCTATTGGTTAACGTATTTTTAATAAAATACTGTACCAACAGCACATAATCTATTAACAGTTAATCATTAACATCCCAAGTTTAAACTACTATAAATGTCAAACCACACAAGCACAAAAAAAAAACCCTTTAAAGCTGATCAATCTGCTATATGTCAGTCACACACATTTTCACAGCTGGAGAAAGAAAAACAGTGCAGCTCAGAGAAAAATGGCTGACAGAGAGCAGAAATCCAGAGAGCAAGAGGGGGTGAGCCAAGTCTCAGGGCAGAGACAAAGTGAGTGTATATATGTTCATATCAAATTCATCGTTCCCTGGACTACGATGAAAGGCAGCAGAGAGGAAGTGATCGTCATTAACATTCCACCTCACTTTCTTTCTTCACATTTTTATTTCCTTCTCGACTGGAGCGCGACCAGAAGATAGGGTGGAGAGAAAATCCACCACAACTCTATTTTTCATTTGTCATCAAATCTTTTAAGCAGACCTCTTTAATGCTGCATCTACAAAAGTGACTCATCTCTAAACTCTGCATCCTTTTATTTTTTTTTTAGTTAGTGGAATTATACTGAGCTCATGTAGGACTTTTATTGTATTATCTCAAACATTAACTCTTGACATCCTGTGTGCTACTGAGAGAAAATGAGACAAAACATTATCACCACTGTCAGGTGAAATGAAAAGTAATTATCTGACAACCAATGGATTTCTGCACACATCAGCTGCATTTGACCGTAATTTAAAGCTACTAGTATGGGACCTGAATACTTGCAAACATTTCTAAAAACATGTTTTCGCGTTGGCCATTATCAGGTATTGCTCATAGATCGATTTGAAAGACGCCAATTTAAAACGTTTAGGTAAAAACCCAATAATAACAGGGATACCCACGTCTTTGTCAACACATGCAACGTGAATACTAAACTCAGTGCAATATCTGATGCTGCGTCAGAACTTCTCAAATGAACAGTTACACTAGAACAAGCAGCATTTTAAATTTACACGGTAAACCTGTTGTCACATAGATGTTGGATTGATGAAATAAATTAACTTTTTAAACATCAATACACAGTATAATTTCTTTAATCATTTTTGTATATGTGAATGCAGTCCTGACTGAGTCATGATTTCTTCCTGGCTGAGCCACAGTGTGGAGATACTTTCTAAAAGAAAATGTATCATGACTCACAGCAGGTTTTGTATGCTACCCTGGGCTAATGTAATCAGACTTAATGCATTTGGTCAGGCCATACAGAAAAGTCTATTATTCAAATACGCTGATCCAAGTGTTAAATGGTATTACAACCGTCATTATCCATTTCAACTAAAAGCTCCACTGCTCATGACCCAGAGTAGAAAATATAACCCTAAATGACGGAGATGTTGATTCATACACAGATAAAAAGTTTGGCACATTATGGTCAGCAATTTGTGGTACGTTCTTTTAAACTTAGAGACACAGCAGAATCTCTGAGGGTGAAGGATACAGATGATCTATGTAATTATCATAAATCACAAGAGGCACCCAGGTATTAGTAGTCCAGTGTGAGGAGGGCTTTAGTTAGTGGGGACGGATCTTTGCTGTAGCAACTATACTGTGTGATTCCGGCTGATTAGACAGCTGGAGTTTTACATAAATCACTTGCCTGCTGAGTTAAAATTCCCTACAGACAAGAGACACACTCCCCTTTGCCCTATGCGGTCTCCCCTCCAGATGTATGCCTGGGGCAGATAGTGGCACACATCTGGGAGCAGGCCCGACTGTGCCACCATGCCCTTTTCCTGCCATATGTGTCTGATGTCCCACAGCAGAATCACACATGTGAACACTGCAGGAAAGGTGCAGGCTACAGTTAAACAATACATGAACGAGTGTGTGAGCTGTACTAAGGAAAGCGTTCACTGTCGTGGGAATCTGTCTTCAAAGACAAAGATAAAGACAAGACTGTGTCCACCCGCTAGAACACCATATGACACACACACACACACACACACACACACACACACACACACACACACACAGGAACATGCACATGTGCAAAACTGTGATATGAACAAATCACTTACTTATTCCAAGCTTGTCTGAGCTTCTTCGCGCTGTACACTGTAAAGCGGTCTGTAATGAGAACACAACAAACAAGCAATTAAATCACTGAACTAAGACCTGCTGTCAGGTCAAAGTGTGTTTTTACATGATCAGATTAAAGTTTCACGCCAGATGTGCTGTTCTAAAAAACCTTCAAACAGAACTTCTAAATGCAAATCAACACAGTTTGACAGCTCGGTACTATAAGATGTCACATCTTACTCATCTGTGTGTCGTTACGAGTTTCTTTTACAACAATAACATTGTTGTTTAACAGCTTTTTCAACTGGCTTCTGTTTAGGAGTTTAAAAAAAAAAAGTTCCTAAGTTATTAAATAAACACAACACTTCTTGCAATCTATGTTCAAAATTTTAAGCACTTGAAAATATCAAATTATAATTAGCATCCATATTCATGATATAGATCCATACTCATTGACATTAGATTAGTTTCAAATGTAAGTTTAGGTAATTATTTGGTGAAATTGAACAACCAATCTCACCCACTTTTTAATACACTCTGCTACTACATCAATTGTGGGTGCCACTGTACAAAAGTCCTAAAAATCCTAAATGGAGTAACGACATAATTGGCCACAATTCCAATTCTAATTGGAGTCTGACTTTTTAGTTTCTGTTTAACCACAAATAAAATATTGTTATACCACAGCAATGTCTAATTTTCATGAAATAAAGTAAAATCTGCAATAAATACTCTTAAAAACCACGATAATTGCACTTATAAGGGCACTCTTTTCTAGTTGTATTTGTGTCACAGCTATAACCAAAATGCATGCAGATTTTACCCTAGCTGTTAGTATTCCATGAACTATTTTAACTAGCTAATCTTCATCACAAAGGAGGAAAAAAATAGCTAAACTTACTGACTAATGGTAGTTGGCCTAGCACTGCAGCACGAACTACAATCTGAGATTTTGACTTTTATGTAATTTGGTGTGGCATGTAAATTGCAGACTAATTTTTTTAGCTTAATTTTGATATTTAAAAAAAAATACAGTCTGGTACATAGAAAATGCAGGTTTGACTTCATTGCCTCTACTGTCTGCCTTTATAGAGCAGTTATACTACCTGAATATGATCTGTCAGGAAATCAGCATTTGAAAGAGCATGATGCGAACAAAAGCACGGAGATGTTATACTTTAAAATGACTGCATTTCTGTCCAACATGTCAAGTTTCTATGACATAATCAACTTAATTATCACAAAATGCTAAATAACACAACATTAACATGTAACGCTGCACAAAGTAGAGATATTACTCTTCAGGAAGATTTAAAAAAAAAAAAGTCTAGTTTTTAACTCAGCCTTTACATGCAGTACCTGATCGTAGGTATAACACAGGTGTAGTTATAATGTGTGCCGTTCAGATTCAAGAGCAGCTGCCATAATCTACTGAATTATTTACAGTCGTGCTTTCCTTGCTTTGACGTACTAAAATGTGTGTTGTGGTAAAGGCCTGTGACAATCAGGCAAACCCGTTCAAATAACTGAGATGTTATTGCACTAAGTGTTGTGTATTAGTTTGCCAAAATGAAGGATGGCTGATATCAATTCAAAAATGCTCTGAAGTAATACTGTGTGAGCTATGTACTTCTGCTGCAAGGCCAAACCACATTAATTGTCCTATTTCTGAGAATAGTTTGGTGAGGCAGTCTCTCCATATTTCCACAGCTATGTTTGCTATGCTCTGAGTGTGTGAGGCTCAGCACCGTTCTCTTAATCTCAGCCAAAACTGCCATGTGGGCACGCAGTCAGGCTGAGCTGCCAAACGACCAGCCACCACACAAGCTAGCCAGCCACCCAGCAAGCTCGTCCGTCTGGCCTCCCACACTGTAGGCCTAATCCTACTGGCCAACCACCCAACCGTCAGCGCTCCGCCTGCCAGCCAGCCAGCAGTGGGTCCAGTCACTCAGTTCGGTGCCGGGGGGCTGGCCTGAACCGGCCACAGCTCTCTGCGCACCAGAGGTGAGGTCTGCCAGCCACGCAGAGAACCCAGGAATAGGCAAGGGGAGGGGTTGGAGGTAAGTCCAACTAACTTGAGATATAGCACATTAAATAAAACACTATGTTTACATTTTCAGATCTTTAATACTTTTGTGGGATATTTCTGCCATTTTGAGAATGAAACTGGGAAAGACTGGTGGGCGTTGTACATATTAGGATATTAATAATTAAAGTCCTCAACCAACATCCATACATATTCTTTTCTTAAAATACATTAAGTCAAGCATTCTGATTCACGACCTGTCCAGGGTGCCCCCTGCCTTCGCCCTAAGTTGGTTGGGATAGGCTCCAGCCCCCCTGTGACCCTAGTGAGGATTAAGTGGTGTATAGATAATGGATGGATTCTGATTCACACTAAAAATTTGAGCGAATTCTTACAGAAGTCTCAATAACCAAAAAAGAAATGCACGTTTCATTCTTAAACATGTACAGCATTAATCTCGTTTATTTACTGTCTGAGACATAGTACACTTTAATGTCATATTTCATGTTTTTACTTGTCTGCACATTATGATTTTATTGTAGTAATCTTATAACAGTCTCCTGTGTATGATTTCATTTCCAGATCTAGTTGGTCTTTTCAAATATGCAGTCTAAAGCCTGGGCTGTGGATAAAACTGGAGGGAGAGAGCGAAAGCGAGATGTGACTGGAAGTGAGGAAGTATCTGTGGAACCTTTTCATAACCACAAAAATGTGAAAAATAAGTGGCGTCTCCACTCTGAGGTCAAGCCAAAGTGTCATGTCTGAAACACTGAGTGAAACGCTGTAATCCAGAGGTTGAGATGATGAAAAAAAAAAAAAAAAGAAAGATGGAAAGTATTACTGTATACATGTAGAAGTAATTGTGAGAAATGTGATGAATCATATGCAGTGATAGGGTTAGTGTGTTGTTGTAGATGTGTGTGGACGTTCAGTTCAGAGGAGCTCAGTGTTGCTGGGGAAACTGTCCAAAATGACGCAACACTGCCATCTGCTGCTGACTACGGCCTCTACAAAGTATTGGAAGTGACTGTTAACGAAGCCATTATTATTATGTTTTTGATAAAGATCTTGAAAACTTGCGAAACATTCCTGAAGCTCTTAAGATTCGACATGTGTCCAACTTATTAACAGACTTTTATAGTTGGATGTATAAAGAGAAATCCATAACATAATAATATTATTGAGCAGTTTTGACAATTTTATTCATTATCTGTTTCTACACATTTTTATTTCCATGTGCTCATTAACAGTAACTGTTAGACATAGAAAAAAAAAGGAAGAAAGAAAGAAAGGAAGAAAAATTTAAAGTTAAATAGATCTCTGTACTGTAGTCATATGAACTATATGTTAGGTAAGTAACGACACATGAGCATTTATTGATAAAAGTTGAAATGTAATATATTCACTGTGTACTCACAATTTACAAAACTTCAAGAGCTTTATTTTTGATCACTTACTCCCACGTGTCTTGGCCATTTAGTTTTTTTCCTATGTAAGAAATTGTATGCATTCAGTATTGTAAGATACAAGCAAGTCCTTGCTAACAAACTTGGCTGTGTCACAATGGAACTGTGTAATCTTCATTTTTTTTTAAACAAAAAATTACATTGGCATGTGTAGTTTCTTCCACCTTGTAGCCAAAGGCCTCGTGTAGTTCATGTATCTGGTTCTCAAAAAATGATTCAATAACAAACTAACAAAAAAGCAAACAAACAACAACTAAAAAACTTAAATGCAGACTTTTAAAAATATATATTGTATTTAGTTTTGATTCTGAATATTAGGTTCCTTAAAAATAAGTCTTAAAATGATCATTATAAGATTTTAAAAGCTCTGGATGAACTTTATTTAATGCAACTGTTAGAGTTTCTTTCATCTGATTTAAAGGTAAATACAGTTCATTTCCATGCACTACCTGCTGATTATTGTCCAACTTCCCCTTTGTAGTGTGCTATGCAACACATTTAAACAGTGCTGAAATAAAGTTTATTATTACTGCTATCGTATTAAACATGGATTTTTTTCTTATTAATAAATTACGATTGTCTTGCTCTCATTAACAGTGTCCCCATGAGGACTGTATTACATCCAGGCTGTAATTACAGTGCACTGAGAGGCTTTATGGGGCTTTACAAACACCCCCATGTGGTTAAGTTTGACCAAACCATCTCTGGTAACATCTCATTCTTCCTGTGTTTGTTGAAAGTGTAGCCATAATAAACTCTGATCTGTAGACGTCATATGAACAGATGCAGAGCTTGGAGGCTCGCACCAGGCAAAGCTGGGCAAATGTGTGCACGACTGTGTGTGTGTGTGTGTGTGTGTGTGTGTGTGCGGGTGAGGCAGCTGCACAGCTGTTCAACGGAGTGTTTGAGAGGCTAACAAGAGCCAACTGTCACCATGGTCACAGGATGTGAGATCATATTAGTATGAATTGTGTGTGCATGTGACCACAGAGTCACCTCAGTTGATCTCTAATTGGCCACTGGAGATAGGAGGCTAGTCACATACAGCTTTGTGATGCCTCACTGCCCCGCACCCTCACTCTAACCTTCTTTATGTCCATCCTTGCCTGTCCCCTCTCCTCTACTCCAGCTCTTCTTCCCTCTATCAGTTGACACTAATCTGCAATCCCTCTATTCATGTTCCCTCTAAAAAGCCCTAATGAGCTCCCAGAGGGTACAGCTACCCTGGCAGAACTGCCACCCCCACTCCTGTGGCTGCATTAATAGGGTAGAGTGAGCTTTTGGTAGGCTGGACTATATTGGAGCACTGAGCATACAAACAGCTGCCTGCCAACCAAGTCATGGTAGATATTATGGATTCTCTCAAAAAACTCTGAATGCTTAAGAGTCAGCACGAAACCAGTTATCATAAAACATTGTGTAGGCACGTGTTAGTACAGAGCCTGGTGTCATTCAACAGTTTGTTGGCTAAAGTGTTAGCCTGAGGCTTGCTGTCGCAAAACATTATGTTGGCTGAAGTGTTAGCATAGCACATTATTATACAGACTGATGATGGCAGTATCATAATGAGCGCATTTGGCGTACACTGTGCACAATAAAAATAATCTCTTTGCTAATACTTAATTAAAAGCTACATTAATTAAAAAGCCATGCTCCACGCTAACATTTTATCATATAGATTGATGAGCGCCAGGGGGCCCCATTATGATTATTACATTATGATTAAAGAAGTATATGTGAATGAAAACTTTCCTCTTCTCAAACACTTTAAAATACATAATACTGACTTCATGCAGATTGCACAGTATGTTCATTCTCATACTACTATTTCATGCTAACCATTAAGTCTGTGTTCTTTATTTTGGTCTAGGGTTAAATATATGTGACCTGCATGAGTCTAGTCAGTGTGTGTAGTAAGACTGTAAAACAAAACAGGTAGTACCTGGTTTAAAATGAGGCAAGGAGTTCACCCCGGGCCACGTATCCTCAGATGGAGTACCAAGGACCTGGAAAAGACAACAAGAATGGAGAGGAGAAGGTGAACAGGTGAATGAAAAAACCGTGATAATCCAATTTTCACAACAGCTATGAGGATGATTGCCAAGTTGCATGACAATTTACCATAATGCAACAATTTCAGTCAATTTAAAGTGCTATTGTATTACTTTTTTTTTTTCTTTTTTTGCCAATATAGAACATTAAATCTGTAGTGTTATGTTATTGACTCTTGCAATGTTCTTTTGAGTATCTCCTACTCCTTTTGGACAAGCAAACAATATTTAGATAATATTGCATCTTAATGTTTCACTGTGCATAACTGTCTGATTTTGTTGATATAAGCATAATGACAAGCTGAAAATTCAAGCAGAAATTCATCCCGTTGCTTGTCTAAAAGTCCTGATTAGTGTATCTTTTATAGGTTTATGTCATCATAAACCCAGGCTGAGTTCTCACGCACAGCCTGGGTTTATGATGACAAAATGCAGAGCAGCGGACATGCCTTCGACATGATCCACAGCTAAGGAGCATAATAGTTTCCAGATTGCCCACTTGTCTCTGATCTGCAACACACGTCAGTGGTGGAGTTTAGGAACTGCTCGGTTTCTACTGCCTGCTTAGAGTGCGGTGCTTGCGAACACTGGGTGGAGGTGTGTTACGACATAAATTTATTTCATATGGCTCATGTTGGCACAACCAAGAGACAAAGAAAAGAAGAATGAAAGCAATGTTTGGGAGTATGTTTCCAAGCAGAGTACCCACTGATCATACTTTTGATCATAGATTTGTCTGTTTCTGTTAGATTTCAACTCAGCTAAGCAGCTAACAAGACATCACCTCTTCTTTTGTATGTTTCTGACATTTCACATACTCAAATCAATTGCAAAATGAAATTGATGTTTTTAAATGAGAACATTTGATTAAACATGACAAACCAAAAGAATTTATTAAAAGGCCAGGGACTGGTTTAGCATTTGTTGGACTCTAACTTATGTTACAGCATGCTACTGTAATTTATACAAATGTTAGTTACAGTTGTTGTAATAACAGAACATGGCCACAGGAGGGCAGTGTGACACCATAAGCAGACCTCAGTGGGACTAGAGTAAGAGCTGTCTGACTCCTATACAAGCTAATATGCTGAAATTCATTCAAAAATATTCCAATATTGTCTTTTTGGGTTGTGTTTAGAAGCAACATTCAAGGTCTGAGAGATCATCGTTCAATGGTTTGGAACAAAACCAAAGGATATCACAACAAATCAAATGACTGCATCAGTACATTATTACCACTAGTTGCTTTCATCAACGCTCTTGTCTGGTGATGCTAGATTATATGGGAAGTTAAGATTAATATGTATGCAGCATGTTTTTGTGTCATTTGTTGGTTTTGTTAATGTGTCGATTTTTTGTAGATGAAAAATAACTTTTGCAGAAATGCATTTATCTTTGACAGAACCTGTCTTTCCATTTTCTTCTCTTTGTAAAACACAGGGTTGGTTCTTGTAGTCAAGAAGAGGAGAAGGTGTAGAGATGAAACAACTTTAACAAGGATGAAAGTGTTGAAGGGGTGAGAGCATTTCTGCAGTCAGAAGCAGTGTGCACCTATAAGATGCACACAAAAAGCACCAACAGCATAATTTAATCACATAACTTTAGCAAAAATTTATAAGAAAATCTGAAGGAAAATTATGAGACTATGTGCAACAGTTTTATAGCTACAGCAGGCCTTCATTTGACTGTACCTCATTGACTCCTTAAAATGTGATGGTGGAGTTTCAAGGATAAACTCTATCCCACACTGCTTTGTGGGACATGATGGCTCAGTGGTCAGTACTGTCACCTCAAGGGGGCTGACTACAGCCTTTTTCTGTGATTGCATTTCCTTCTCTAAAAACTTGCCACTACTCTACCAAAAACATGCCCAGGAAACAAGAAAGGCTCTGTGGTCGCCTGCCAAGGGCAGATCTGCTTTCATAGTCATTTTCATTTCAGTTTGAATGCACATGATCACGACGGTACGGTGAGTTTTCTACAGACAGAATTAGGCAGGAAAAGTTATAAAAGAGGAGGTAAGGCTGTGGCTGGGGTGGAATGAGGGGGCATGTGAGTGGATCTCAGTCTGGTCGGCAGAGCTGAAATCATTTTGCATTATTGATGGAACAGTTTGGTGGCCTTTGAAGTGCAGGGAGGGAGTGCTGGATGGAAGATAATCTGTGAATGTCAGAGTCTTCATGAGGACATCAGAGGGGGGAGAGGGGACTCAGTAGAAACACGGCTCAGCGTCTAAGAGAGGAAGTGAAACATCACCTCACAGCCAGACAGAAGTCATCAAACTCAAAGCTCCTCACACTTAACATAAAAGCAAAGCAGTGTTATGGTGTCCCACACAAATGATGATCAGCCTTCTGCACCAATCTGTAATAAATACAGTCACACTGTTTTAATTTGGGTCGGAACTATGGCATGTACGAGGTCAAATAAGACAATGACTATGAGATAAAAGTGTGGCATTTAGCTGAACAGGGTTCACACATTTATGTTGGTTAAGGTATGTGTAACATAGGATGAACACTGATAAACCATAACATTAAAACCACATGCTTGACTTTATGTCTTTATAGCCCTGTCCTAATTTGTAGGGACCAGTTATCTTCATTT